GAAAAAACTTTTGCTGATAATTTACTCACCCCCATGTCATCCAAGATGTCCATGTCTTTCTTTCCTCAGTCGAAAAGAAATTTAGGTTTTTGATGAAAACATTCCAGGATTTTTCTCCATATAATGGACTTCAATGTGAACCGGATGGTTTAGGTCCAAAAGATAGTGTTAATAACAGTTTCAGATGCAGCTTCAAATGTCTTTAAACGACACCAGACGATGAATAAGGGTCTTATCATGCGAAACGATCGGTTATTTCAATGCTTATTCCAAAAATGTAACTTTTCTAAGGACAAATGCTAGCCTTTCTCCATTCTGTGAGGCGCGTTTGCAACGTCACGTAGTGCGTAATTACGTTCAAAAGGTCACGGGCGACGTAGCCAGAAGTACAGAGTCAGAGTGTTTACAAGTTGAACGCATAGGTTGAACGTGAAAACTAACTCAAACGCCGTTTACAAAAAAGGAATTAAAAGGGAAAACAACGATGTCGGACGATTTTGATTCTGTACTTCCGGCTACGTCGCCCGTGACCTTTTGAACGTAATTACGTATTACGTGACGTTACAAACGCGCCTCACAGAATGGAGAAAGGCTAGCATTTGTCCTTAGAAAAGTTACATTTTTGGAATAAGCTTTGAAATAACTGATCGTTTCGCATGATAAGACCCTTATTCATCGTCTGATATCGTTTAAAGACATTTGAAGCTACATCTGAAACTGTTATTAACACTATCTTTTGGACCTAAACCATCCGGTTCCCAATGAAGTCCATTATATGGAGAAAAATCCTGGAATGTTTTCATCAAAAACCTTAATTTCTTTTCGACTGAGGAAAGAAAGACATGGACATCTTGGATGACATGGGGGTGAGTAAATTATCAGCAAAAGTTTTTTCAAAAGTGAACTAATCCTTTAACATTTCAGCCCAAAATCAAAAGAAAGCAAATAGGAAATTACATTTTACCTGATGAAAACAAACCTGTTATTTTTTTTTGAGCGCCTTTTAACATGATTTTCATGGCAATATAAGCACATTTTCCCAATTTCTTCTCATGAACATATCCAGACGTTTTACTTTTGAGTTTTTGTAATTCATGTTAATCTTAAACACGTACTCTACTATTTTTAACGTTTTGAAAGAAGTCTCATGGTCACCAGGCTGCACTTATTTGATCAAAAATAAAACTGTAATATAGTGAAATATTATTACGATTTAAAGTAACTGTTTTTCTATGTTCATATTTTTTAGAATGTATTTTATTCCTATGATGGAAAAGCTGAATTTTCAGCGTCACACGATCCATCAGAAATCATTCTAAAGCATTATATTTATCATTCTTGGTGTGAACAGGCCTTAATATGCTGGTTTGCTGGTTATTATCAATGTTCATAACGGTTGCTTAACATTTTTTGGAAACCGTGAAAATCATTTTTTTGTCAGGATTCTTGGATGAACAGAAAGTTCAAAAGAACAGCATTTATTTGAAATAAAAAATATTTTATTTTTGATCAATTTAATGCATCCTTGCTGAATAAAGTTGTTTTTTTTTAATAACTCACTAACCCTAAACTTTTAGTGTTGGCCTGTCATTATTGTAAATACATTTGCAATTTAAATAAAATATCATTGTTGTTTTTAGTATTCTAGTAATAATGAAATTTGTTTTATTTTATTTTCGCTTTAAGGTAATGCGAAACATAAATGACAAACATAAAATATGCATTTTTATTATGCAAAAATAACTGCTTACATTTTTTTTTTTCATTCAATATAATATATTTTACTTTAGATTGCAGGGTTAAATGTGACTTGGACATGTTATTGACAGGTTGTGTGTCAGGAAGTTCATTCATTCAGGAACTGCTTTGTTAACTGGAACATTTACGTAACTCTGTGTTCTTTTCTCCTATTTGTTTCATCTGTTGTTGTAAATATGGTTTCTCTGACCTGTTTCTTTTAATAAGTGAGTGAGACGGGATAAACGTCTGGCATGTTCTGAGGGTGTGATGTGAGAAAAGTTGAACTTCTGAATTATTGTTTTTTTATTTGTAAAGAAATGGTTCTATTTAGAACCAGAAATGGTTCCATCCCCCGCTTTATATATGGAACTCCAAAATGGTTCTATATAGAACCATTTTTTTTTTTTTGGTAAAAGGTTCTATTGGCCAAGTATGGAAACCCCAGGGTTCTATATAGAACCCAGAGGAACCCTTTTTTAAGAGTGTATAGAACCTTTTAGGGGTTCCAAATATGTAGCGCTGATAAAACCTTTCAAGGTTCTATATAGAACCTTTTCTTCTAAGAGTGTATGTATATTATTTACCGAGTTATTAGTGTAAATATTTTTCTCTTTTCCCAATATCTTTACTCAGCAGAATGAATATCATTGTTATTTGCCCTGACAAAATGAGAGCAGATAATGAATATGCATTTCTCCTGAAATGAAGCAAATTGCCACTTTATTACATGGGTTTCATGATTCAGTTTGCCGCCTTGTGGTTTACTGTAAAGCTTCCTGTAGATTCAGATAACACAGTCTCATCCCAAAAAGTCATATAACTGACATTTTGGGACGTATTTTGACCATACGTCAGTATCCGCCTTTTTAGGGCCCCCTTAAACGTCGGTAGATGTCGATCCCGGGCCGTCATACAACTGACGCTTTACCTTTAACGTCAGTTAGGTGACGGGTTAGGTTTAGGTATGGGGTAGAGTTAGGATCCCATAACCTCATCTACCGACGTTTAAGGGGGCCCTAAAAAGGCGAATATTGACGTATGGTCAAAAGACGTCCCAAAACGTCAGTTATATGACGTCTTGGGATGAGACCGGGTTGATTCAGACTATCACTAGATTTGGTTTCAGATCATGGGCCAGATGAATGTGATGGCATGAGCTAAATGATGTTTGTGTGTGTGCGTGCATGTATGTGTGAGCGAGCGAGCTGATCATGTCCAATTTGTAAAAGTTGACACTGTGATCTTTAGTGTCTATCCGTCTCCATGATGTCTGTTTTTGAGCAGGACGCAGAGAAAGAGAAAAGCATCTGTGTCTGCACATGCGTGATTCACAATAAACATCAACTTAAAGGGCTCAGAACAAACGTGCTGCTGTTTTTGGGACTAAAGTGTGTGTGTGTGATTGAGGAGTTAAAGGTATAGTCCACCCATAAATAAAATTAAATATCTTTATTTACCCTTATTAAGTTACTCTGAATCACAAAAGGCAAGGTATTCAGTACACAAGTTATTTTGGTGTAGTTTATTTTGGGGCTTCAAATATGGAATACATTTTGAATAAAATTTAAAAAATGTTGAGATGGATTGATGTAGAATTCAGAAACCCTTGTCAATAGCGACACCGGTGGCCGTTAAGTGAACTGCAGTTCTCGAATATGTAAACTGTTGTGCCACAGTTTCACATAGACATGCACTTGTAAGTTCGGCGTTTAGGCATTATCATCGACACCGAAACAGAACGTCTCGGATTACAACTGTAACCATAGTCGTCTTGCCATGCTTTCTTCATTCATGTGATCGACTGTGATTCCCAAAGCGGCATCGACGCAGCGTCTCAGTCCCTTCTAAGGGAACTATGGTTACAGTCGTAACCTGGGACATTTTTTATGTGTCATTGAACAGAGAAAAAGCTCTCGGGAGCACGCATTTAACACATTATTGAGTCCTTCATGTAAAAACCAGTCTACGGGCTTTCATAGTCTTGTTTTTTAAATTTCAATTACAAGCTGTTTATACATTGGCGATACAAATAGCAATCGATACATGAAAGTTCTTACATAGCCCCTTTAACCCCTTAACTGTCACCGTCCCGGTACCGGGACACCTAACTTTACTTCACTATATTTCTATTAAATCCTAATCTAATTATGACAAATTATATATTGTTGGAAAGGTCTAAGACTTCTAAATAGATATTCTACCCCTGTTTTGTGTTAAAAATTATGTAGGAAGAGTAATTGATGAATTATGACAAGAGTGCACCTCAAAAAATCTGCATCATAACAGGAGTTTTGACCTTTGTCACAAAAAGTTTATGAACCCACTTTTAATTATTGAAACTTTTGTTTTTATGCTAAAAGTTCATAATAAACATATAATCTAGTATTTTTCAATAAAAAATAAAAAATTATAGTACAATATTATTCTCTAAAAATGAAAGTATTTATATTTATTATCCTCTAAAATATAATATTATTTTTTATTGCCTTTTTTATTATATCACATATTTTAGTAGTTATCATAAATTAGGTATCATTTGAAGGCTTAGAAACTCAGAATTCATCGTGTGAAAACTGTTTTATAATTGAAAGTTGTGTTACCATAGAAACGGTACTTATTTTATCAGGCTCCTCCCCTTTTGGGCATAATTATATTTCATAATTTATGATCAAAACCTTTTCTAATCTTGACAAAACTGATATTGTCAGAAAGGTCAGAGTCTCAAGGTTCCAAATTTTGTGACAGAATTGATATTTGGACAGAAATGTATTAATTTGTTAAGGCAGAATGTATACAACTAAATTCAATGGAATTCAATGGCACCCGGTGGCTATTTTTGGTACTACGCCTAAACAAAATCTCATGGGAACTTCAATTTTTGTGATATCAACTTCAAATTTGGAACATAACTTGATAAGATGTATGGCTTTGATTTTATAGAAATTTTAGAGTAAAAAAATATTTTATAAAATATATATTTTATATAAAATAAAAAATATATAGTACAGTATATTTAATTTACTGTAAATTTAAACTTCCATAACTTTTTCACACTTTCATTTTTTGAAGTGTTTTATATATTCTGCTGAGTGTTTTCTTTAAAACAAGACCAAACTTGGGTATATATTCCAAAGCATTCTTGAATTACAACCATTTAAGTTTGAATAGTGCATTTTAACCCCCATTCTCAAAAAGGGGGGTGACATACAGTACATATGGACTAATTGATGCATTTATGGTCTGTTTTTGTCATTTTTGTG